CTCTGTAGAGTGAATCATATTGGTAAAAAACGAGCGAAAAAAATCATATTAGGAAGACCATTTAAAAGTATTATGGACGCGAATATAAAAACGAAAATACCAATGAGTATATTAGAGAATTTTTATTTCAAAAAGGGCCTTCACACGATTTCTCGCATTCTGCCTCGATTCATGTAATTGCAATATTTAACAGTCAAAAATGGATGTCAAGCAAAGCCGATTTTTCGCTTCATGATTTTGAGGCTAAGGTTGGAAGAGTTAGAGAAAAAAATAAACGGATACTGCAAACCTTATTGCTGAAAATGTTGAGTTTAAAGACAGGGATCCAGGTTATCACTAACGAACGGGACGTGACTTCTACAACCCCGAATAAACCAAAATTTCAACCCAGCAATACTAGCTTTACACTTTTATATGAAAAACTTTGTGATGCTATAATTCTTGCTGATTGTAAAACCCAAGAAGCTATCGCGTGTTATTGCCTATTTGGAAAGGCTCTTATTCAAAGACGTAATGAAATAGCATCGGAAAAACAAGTTGATCCAGAATCCAATACTGTGAGTAGAATTTTAATAAAGAAGTAAAATTACAATTACCCGCAGACACTTCCGATAGCCTTTTACGTAATAGAATTGAAAAAGCAAAGAAGCTTGACAAACTTTTTGATGCAATAGGTATGGATAAAATTTATCGCATTCCTTTTCTGCCGACAGCATATCAAAATTAACAAAGAAAGAAATTCAGTATATTATAGATAATGTATCCTTTGATTATAGCATTAGTGTGAGCCTGTCTCCATCTGAGTTACGGGATGATGAGAAAAATTCTGTATTAGCACGCATAAACCAACTTTGTGAACCAAGTTCACGAAGTGATCGGCAAAATTCTTGCGAGGAGGAAAATAAAAATTCAGGAATCGAGGTAAGTACTGTAACCGCTCCTTCTATTCCATTATCTAAAGCCAAGGTAAGTATATCTGCTGAATCGATTTCAAAGGAGTCAGAATCTGTAAATACTTTCAATGAGGATAATGGGAATGATGATGAATTCTCCGACGATAACAACGAAGACGATAATGATGATGGGAGCTTCTGTGGTTTTTCTGATGACGATGATGAAGGTTATTATTATGATTTAAATACCGGCGAAACTTATACAAAATCGAACCGTTCAATATATGCCTATTATATACAGAATTCCTTGCTTTGCAGACAATAGACATTTACAAACGATGCATTTATACTGATGTATCCGGCATCTGTATGTACGTATATATATTTTATTGTTACAATAAAGCGATTATACAGTCTGGTCCAAAAAAAACCGGAATTTTGTTTTTTTTTTTTATTGCGCAGAAACGGTCACATTGAATCACGTGATTTTTTTTATACGAAGTTTATTTAATTTATTTTTTTAAAAAAAAATTTAATGAGACATGTTCTCCCTCACTTTCTATAATTAGCTCACAATGTTGCTTCATCGATCGAACCAATCCAATTAGAACTGATTCTGAAATTTTTTGCCATTCTTCACCCATATACTGTTTCAATTCATCATGATTTTTTGGCATATGTTTCTTTACATTGCCCTTGACAATGCCCTATAGATTTTCTATTGAATTCAAATTGGGGCTATTTGATGGCCAATCAATAATGTCTGGCATATTTTCTTTAATAAAAGTTTTTGCCAAGCGACTCGTGTGCTTCAGATCATTATCTTGCTGGAAGTACTACTTATTATAAAGTATCTTTTTAATCTTTAGAACATATTCACAAATAATTTCCATGTAAAAACTTTCATTCATAATTTGGCAAAAAAAAAATAAAGTTGATTTTCCTTTAGTACAGAATCCTTTCCAAGCAAAGATCTTTACCTGGCTTTTGAATATATTATGAAATGATCATATATCCTTGTACCAACATCTAATATTATTCTGATAGAGTTCAAATACTGTTTCATCAGAACAAAATATTTGTTCCCATGTATCACTAAAATAATTTTGTGCCCACAGTATCTGATTTTGTTTATATACTTTGATAAGTATAGAAGTGATTCATGGAAGACTTTTAGAATACCCAATTCCTTTAAATATCATTCAATAGTTTGATATGACATCTCTACATCTCTTTTTAGTAATTTAACCACAAGATTTCTTATAAAAGTTGTTCTAACAAATATACTGCCCAAGTACTCTTAAAGAAGCTCTGTTTATCTTTTTTGGCAAGCTATTTCCATTTGCATGTTTGTTAGATTTGACTTTTTTAAGCTTTTTTAAGTTTTTTTAAATAGTTAAAAAAGGAAATTTTATAAATGTATATATTTTTTTTGCATCATATATACTGTCTTTCCACAAATATAATAAAATCTTATATTGACAGTTTTTTCTTTCAACCAATATTATAAAGTCTTTTTCTGTAAAAATAACTAAAAATTGAAAAAATTTTAATTGGCAACATAATATATAACTCTTGGTTTTTCTTTTTTTACAAAAAAATTTTAATTATATCTGGCACATAAAATTTATTTTGAGTGTATTACAAATATATGATTTAATTTTCATATATAACATTTACCATTTAAGATTACTCGATCTGAGATAGACAAATTTGAGATATGCGTATGTATTCAATTAATTATACTACTTTATATGAAAAAAATAAATGAATGACTATCAAGTAGGTATATATTTATATTATAATTGAAAATATACCAATAACAATTTATATGGTCATCATATATAATACACAATGCACTTTCTGTGAAAAATATATTATATGCATTCATTACCAAACATAAATTGAGACTAAAAAATACAAAGCTCAAATATGGATAGACTTTATTTATTATTTAATTATCAAAAAAGTGTCAAACTTCGAGGCCATATCTACTTAGTTATGGTCAAGTTATATTATTATCATATGATATAACATTTTTATCCAGAATTCTGCAGAGCAGGGCTTAAAGACCTAAATTTGCCTAGTATTTTTCTTAATATGTAATGCTATATATTTGATATTTTTTGAACTTAAATTTGAAATTAATGGTGTAGTAAATATTTTTATTCATTGGATATATATTATTCTTTAAACTTTGTCTTCAACAATATAAAAAAAATGATTATAAATTTTTCTAATTCTTTCTGTTTTCTTTCTGAGTACATTCTTGGAAACTTTCTTTAAAAGCTAATCTCAAATCTCATCATTGATCTTTTTCTGAGCCTTATGTTTTTCTATAGATCGTTTATATTCAGAAAAACATTTTTCCAGTTCCTTTTCAAAAAAATAATATGTCCTTAAAACTTTATGATATGTATTATCGCTATGCTCTTCAGCCTTGAATATTTTTAAATATAGATTAAAAAAAACTTGGAAACTCTCAACTTCTTATACAAATTCTTTGTGAAGATCTTTTTTCTTCCCATCTCAGAAATTCGAGTGGTATTGGAAGATAATTCCTGGATAAGCTTTTTTAACACAATTGAGTCTTTATCTTTAATTAATTTCTTAACTTTTTTATTAAAGAATTTTTAACTGATACATCTGTAGCTTCATTGGTCTGCTTTTTACTTATCAAATCAAATTGGGATTCAACTTGAGATTCCTTTTTCTTCTCTTTATTTCAGGATCAAGACATGAAAATAGATAAAATAAAAGAGTTAAAATTCTACTTATTCTATCACAAAAGTGTATTAATAAACCTATTCCTATAGTGAATTTCTCTAATAAAAAGATTAAGAAGCCATTAATAGAGAAGAATCAGTGAAACTGAAGAAATTTATTGATAAATTATTATTTAGCAATTCTTCACAAATTAATAAAGTTATAGAAAAGAGTGCCCTAATTATATTATGACTGCTAAAGAAAATGTTAATAATTTTTTATATTTTTTTAGAAAATTGATCAATCTGAATCTAAATATCTAGTTTTTAACAGAAAAGTTATTAATAGTTATTTTGATTTTGAAAAGATTTTATATAAATGATATAAAGATTTAAAAAAGAATAATGGTAAAGAAGGATTAAATGTTCTATTTTTTAATAAAGTTAGGAAACAAATTCCTGCAGAAGTGACAGATGGTGGCTTATGGAAAAAAATAAAAAGAATCTGAAAAATTTATAGACTTTTTACTACTATTGTTAAAGGAGATGAAAAATTAGCAAGACAAAAAATATTATTAATTAGATTATTTTCTATATATTCCATTTTAGCTTTAAGTCAAGATAATATTGATTTTGTAATTGTAAAATATTTAAAGATAACAAAGTAAATTACTACATCACATTACTGTGCCCTCATAATATGCATATTATGAAAAACCAGATATTGATATATTTTGCAAAACATAATAAACCATGAATATATAAATAAAAAATCATATTATTTTTTATAAAGTGAAAATTGTAATTAATACTTATTGATACTTATTAGAAGATTATTCTTTACTTTGCAAATTTTTATCAAATGTATTAACAATATATATATCGAACAATATTAACTAATTTATTATATATTCCATTGTCATTATAGAAAAACAATATAAAAATAAACAAAAGCAATCAGAATTAAAAAAAAAATAAGATTCGATAATTCACAAGCAATTGTATATAAACTATATATTTTGTTTTTTATATTTAATTGAAATAAATAATGAATTAAGAACATATAATGTTTGCAATTTATAATAATGAAACTTCCAGTGAGTGGATGAAACAGATTTTGAAACGTCTTATATATTTAGAAAAAATAATCTCTTCCCTTATAATAGCAAAAAATATTTTGAAGCTAGAAAATTAAAAAGATATTGAAGTGATCTTAATGGGTAGAGCCCAGACTCTTTGAATCATAAATTTTATACAAGTTATACACCTGAAATTTGTATTGTAATATGTTTCTCTTGCAATTAATTAGTATATATAGGAATATAAACCAAAAATATAGGTAATTACAATATAATCATATAAAAATATAGAGGCATTGGGCTTCTTATTGTATAGAAAATATCTTTTGTAATATAAGTTATGAAGAATATATAAAAATTAAGCAAAATCTAATTCTATATATAATTTGATAATGAATATAAATTATACAAATATGATTTATGGATGTCTAATGCAATCAGAAAGATTAAATGTATTAGAGAAGTTGGTTTAACTGCTTAGAAGTTAGCATTATATTATGCTTGTTTATAGAATATTAGAGCAAAAATGAGTCAAATTAATGATGTATAGGTATTAATAGTATTAATATCTGTAAAATGAATTATTATCTATATTAATATAAAAATATATAACTTATTTATTTATCTAATTTATATTTATATATCCACTAAGAAAATTTATATCTTTTTTTTTATGCATTAATTGATTTGCTTTTTATTCTTTTTTTTTGTTACAATTCTATCTCTTTTTAACATAAATTTTTTTAACATGACTGGTGTACACCTTATTTATTAAATATTTTTTGTATTATTAAATTTGTAATTACAAATTTTTCCTACCAGCTATTTGCTAAACTATCTAAGACTAATGTCTACTAGCCGGCTTGTTGCCTCTTATTCATCTGATTTTACTAACACTAATGCAAGCATTAACTCTAATAAGATTGATAAAGTACTAACATGCCTAGATATATGCTTTTAAGTTCTATCCACTATCTGATGAATAGAATCTTAAAAGACCATATCTAAATACAATTAGCCATGGTCTAGTTATATCCAATAAAAAAATCCATTGGTTCTAACCATACATGTGGTCGTATTACCATAAAAGGAAATTTGATCGACAATACGATTCCGAATTAAATACGAATTCCAATTATTTACTATATGTTACTTAGTAATTCTACCATAATACGGTTTTTGAAAAATGTCCGAATTCAATTCCACCACATGTATAGTTCATATGACCCGAACTTTAAAATGGCAACCCTGGTAGAGTCGAAAGGACTTATAGCAGTTACTTTTTTTCATTTCTTCCTTGGGGCTCTTTCCATTTTCACTTTTTATTAATACACAAATTTTATTAAATAAATATCTTTTTTCTCTTGAAAGGCTTCTCTTTATTTTTAAAAACAAAACTATATATTAAAATAGTTTATACTGTTGGCTTGATTACTAGCAATATTCTTTATAATATTTTTTCAATAATGCTTAGTATATATTGCTGTGCTACCAAAAACCAAAAATTCTTACTCAAAAAATTTTTTATCAAAAAACTGTAA